CTTTAATAAAAAAAGATTATTATCTAATGAATTTGCAAATCTGGAACCCCAAACAGGATAACAAACAAACCTACCACAAAATTCTTCAAACAATTTACCAAAGAAAAGAAAAAAATCCAAAATATCATTTATCATTAATACAATTTTCTTTCAAAAATCTTTTAAAAAATGAGTTATTTCCCTTTGTACAGAAATGGATTAATTCATCAAAAATTGAATTCTTGGGAAAGGGCTATAACTGAACAACGAGAAAAGCTAAAATTGTGAAAATTGAACTTGCCTTTCATTTAGTCACAGGAAACAACATATCTAAATTTGAAAAAATTTCTTCAAAGCGTTTTCATGTAAATGAACGGACACTGTTTGGCAGCCGCCCGCCCGCCGTATATCACCAAATCAATAACTGATTTTTACTTCGAAAATCCGGTTAACCAGATCAATGAACATATGACCTATCAAATTGGCAAAACCAGGTTTTCTGCATTTTTAGGCTATATCAGGCTTAGTTGACTGGTCACATTGTGTGCATATTTCCAATCTATCAAACACCATAACTGACTGCTATTTTGTCATCAGTAACAACATATTAAAATTGTAAGACCATTAGTTAAGCACTTTGAGGTTAGGCTAATTTTGAGCAAGAAAGACATAGATATGATGCTAATGCTAATTGTAACTCCGTAACAAACCTCATAAAACTTTAATATTTACTTACAAATACACTTTGCTGAAGATGTGATAAATACACAACTTAGGGTTACCAGAACTAAAAGACCTGTAATCAGAAAAACAATTTAATGTTACTCATAAAATGCTTATTAATAAAATGTGTGATCAGCCTGCTATCTGTATGTCTTAATTTCTTAAAAAGTAAACTCTTAAAAGATGAATCAAAATATAAAAGTTCTTTCATAGTTGTATGTTAAAAACATGAAAATCTTCTAAAACAATTTTGCGCTCATGCTTTTTTGTTACTTATTTAACACAGTAATCAGAGGAAACCTTCCCTTGTGTTAACTTGAATTTTGCCAATTCAGACAACATACTGACCCCAATTCATTTTCTTTCTTAACAGTTAAAACACTATGAATTTAAGCAAGATTGAATGTTACAAAATATCCAACTTTAAATAAAGCACAAAAGTGGAAATGCAGTTGTCTAATGTCTGGCTAAGAAACAAAAAAAAAAAACTCAGCAAAACTAACAAATGCAGACTCCCATTTGTATTGAGAAGGTAAAGTACATGATTTGCTATGGGAAACCAAAACTAGAGGATCCAAGGAGTTTTTATTGTGCTCACCAAGCACCTAAATCTTATAAGGATGTCAACGAGTACTTGAATACTCAATTATCTCTTGGTAGTATTGAGTATCGAATACCAAGGCCAGGTGAGCTAATAAAATAGGATATACTTAAATGTGATTGCATGACTCACAAACTGATAGATGGACCAAATATCAATGCAAACATCCGGTCTTTCCCCATCAGCCTATATAGCTAGCTCTATAAAAGGCAACTTACATGACTTATATGGCTAAATGCAGGATATAATTCAGATTTTTTTTAATAAACAAAATGTTACCTTTTAGACCAGGGATTCTTGTGAGACCAACTACTATTCCTTGTTCCCTTCTTTCTTTATGTACGTCTATAGGAAGGGTATTCAAAGGCTTGGATGGCTCTCCTTGTATACCTGCAGAAAATTAGAATTGTGTTTGGTTAGAACAGATTCCATTCTTTCATCAAAGAATATTTCAATAGAAAATTCTATTAGTAAGTTGGCATTTATTAATTAATTTGGAGGTATCTTCGTATTAAAAAGTCAATCAGCTAGCCCATGTTATGTTGCATCATGTTTTTTTCTTAATTAGGAATAGACTCAATTGAAGGTTATATTGATATTATGAACAATTAAAAAGGCTCAAAGATAACTTCTTTCGATAGGGAGATGAAAAGAGAAACTTTTTATCTACCATCTGATTTAATATGTCAAATTAATGAAATCTTGTGAGGAATTTGCACAGAAAATTTAATGAATCTTGTGAAAAAAAAGTATGGAAGTAATGAAAGAAGTCAAAAGTCAGTTGAGAGCAATAAAAAAAGTTTAAGGCTGTTTTTGCATTTTCAAAAATTACTTGGTGTAAACAGGGATGTTCTTGCATTGAAATTATATAAAAATAACTGAAAACCATGAAGATTTATTTAAAACCTATTCTATACCCCCTTTTCATTATCTAACAGCTCTTTCCATGCGTTGAAGACCGTACTGTGACCTACAATGGTTTACTTTTATAAATTTTTACTTGGATGGAGAGTTGTCTCATTGGCACTCATACCACATCTTCTTATATCTATTTCAAGCAGAAAAAAAACAGAAACCAGATATATAACTGATAGTAAACTTTTGACACAAAGATATGTCTCACTTTCAGTAATTTTGATAGCGAAATGCAAATGTTGAAAATAAATGTCAATACTTAAATATGTAAACTAGGTAAAACATTCAAAGTCAATGAACCATGCATGACTGAAGTTGCAAGGCCAATAACCTCCATGGATTAAGAAATGCTAATTCTAATAAAACTGCATTCCAAACACCGTTGACTTCTCATTAGTGGACTGTCCCTTAAAACTAATCTATACTCAGTTTAATTGAGGTCTGGAGCTGGCATGTCAGTAACTGCTAGTAGTCCTTTGATAATTTATGTATCATTGTCATTTTGCTTAGTTTCTTTTGTTACCCATTCTGACATCGGACTCAGACTTCTTTTTAACTGAGTTTTACTGTGCGTATTGCTGTTTCTTTATTCTACATTGGCTAGAGGTATAGGGGGAGGGTTGAGATCTCACAAAACATGTTTAACCCCGCTGCATTTTTGTGCCTGTCCAAAGTCAGGAGCCTCTGGCCTTTGTTAGTCTTGAATGCTTTTTAATTTTGGTTGTTATATGTTTTGGAGTCTAGTATGACATCCATTTTCACTAAACTAGTGCACATTTTGGGGGGGGGGGAGGGCTGAGGCCCGCCTCCAGGTGTGGGATTTTCTCGCTGCGTTGAAGACCCATGAGTGACCCTTCGGCTGTTATCTACTCTTTGGTCGGGTTATTGTCTCTTTGACATATTCCCCATTTCCATTCTCAATTTTACAAACAACATTGGAATATGCAAAAGTTTTAAATTCATTGAACCCTGATGAAAGGGCCAGTCATATAATCTCAATGGAATTGAGAATTGTAAATGCTTATATAACTGCATACCAACTATCATTGACTTAATATTAGTGTTTTGTCTTAAACTGATATAATCACAATTTTTAACATATAAACTATGCAAAATATTCAGCAAATAGACCATGACTGAGGGGGGAGCAAATTAATCTCCATGGAAATGAGATGTGTTTTAAAAGCCTTTCCATCTTTATCCTCAATGTGTAAAATTCAGCTAATGAAAAGTTCCTCCAAATTATTTGTTTATTTTCAGAATCATTAACAAATAATTATAACCAGACAGTGTTCTCCCCAGGCCGATATGACGCTGCAGTCCCGCAGCGCCATGAAAATATTTTCGTTGATCCCGCAGCGCCTTAATTGGCCGCTGTCCCTTAATACTTGATCCCGCAGTGTGTTAATTTTCACATTTTAATTTTAAATGTTGGTTAAAATTGTCAAGTTGCTGATTACCGCTGAGAGATCCTGAGAGGTCGGTCAATGTTGCGCAATAACTGATAACTAGCAAAAGTCTCTGATTTACCTGTTCCATCCTTATCAGACCATGTAATCAGGTTATAATGTAAACGATCATCAAGAAGATATATATTTTTAGTAGAAAATAAAAGTTTTTAAAAACTTCAGTGCAAAAATTGAAGAAATAGATCGCAAATACATTGTATTTATGCATCGTCTGTGTGCCATACTTGGCCATTTAAGTAACAAATTTTTTCATTGGTCGAGAAGAAGAATCTATTTAAACACGACCAATGAACATGATGAATACACGTGATAAATTTGAATACACATTACTAAAGAAATTTACGATGAAATTTATGAATGAGAGTATTTGTACGTCAAAAAAGTAAAATAAACTTTTATAAAAGATAACGAAGAGTGATTTATTTTATTAGAAAATGAAAAATTGTTGCTTGCAAGTAAAATTCGTCTGTCAACTGTCACGTATTAGAAATGAAATAATTTTTTAACATCGATCGTTAATTCGTCCATCAGGAAATATATGTACGGAATCGCTGCAGCATTGGTGTAATGTCACTAGTAAAGAATTTCACTGGTTTTAACTTTGACGAATTTGTCAAGTTTCATTTATATCTACCTTCCAAAGAAACGTTTTGACAATTATACATACAGAAGTGTAATGTCAAACTACGGACACTGGTCAGCTGGTTCATTACAATTTTTTTGTTTTAAAACGTTGTATCCAAACATCTTACACATGATCAATTTTAAAGCTGAATCAACATGTTCTTTGCAAAGAAGAAATGGGTTAAGCAAAAGGCAGATGATGTTTTCAACCCTAAAGAGGATAAAGATTGAGGAACAGGCTGTCCAACAAAATAACAAACTGTCTTGTTACTATATCTAGAAGGAACAGAGAGTAAAGAAACAAATATTTCTGAAGCTGTTCAGCATTGGAAGGCCCAGAAAAACATGAGAATTTTTCTTGAACTATATATACATTTTGACTTAATTTAATTGACTGTGATATAATTGCTTTTTGTGTTTAAAATGAATTTATTTCATGTATATATTCTTATTCTTTATCATGTATATTAATACTGTGCATTATTGCATGTAATGATTTATGACCCATTGCTTCAGGTCATAATAGTTCACTCTAAAATAGAGTTACGCACCCTTAAAATTTTGCGCCTTAAAAAATTTCTGGGGAGAACACTGCCAGAAAAAAAGATTTAGGAAAGTGGAAGGAAAAACAGCATTGAAATTTATATAGCATTCATATGTTTTTACTCTTAGCCACAACCAGAATGTACCTTTTTGTCCTTTCAAACCAGCTGTGTAATCAGATCCTGGTAATCGTTTAGGCCCTGGGAATCCATTTTCTCTTGGGAGTGAAACTCCTACTTCATCCTATACAATTCAGAAATTCTGTTTAGTAAATTTACTGATATCAAGAGTTAAAAAAAAGTATCAACATAGGTTTACAAATTTTTAAAGAGGTATGGATAACAAGAGCCATTAATTGGCCTTTGAAAATGGAAAAATATTTTTATAGTCTTAAATATATATATTTTATGGAATTCATGCATAAAGAAACAGATGCATCCACTCTGGATCATTTCTGCTGTTTGTTCTTAACCATTGGGACCTGTTTTTTTTTCCTTTCTGAACTTTTAAAGATGATGAGGTCAATTCTGGTAGATGTTAGTTTCCTTTTTATAACCCATTAGCTTCTATGATCCAATTTTTTACATAATGTCCCAGAAATTATGATAGGCTCTACCGTCTCTTTCTCCATTCTTACATTTTCAAAAGATGTGGTATAACCTCTTTGACCCTTTTTTTATAGAATCATGGAAGAAGACCTATTTATTTCTTGATCTTATTTTTACCTTCTTATTCTGAAAACATTTGAAAGCCTATGTTTTATATATACCTCTTGTCCAGGTAATTCTGACAGACCAATATCTTCTCTTTCACTAGTGTCATCTGGACTTCTGTACATTCTAGGTATTCCAAATCTTCCTGTCTCTCCTGGCTGACCTTTAATTCCGATGTTTGGTTTAGACTTTATAACTTTACCAATGAAACTCTTAAGCCATGTTGCTATTTTCCCACTAAGACATACTAGTTGGCCCTGTACAAAAACATGAATTTATCTATTGTAAAACACAAATGATATCTGTCCATAAATAAACCATTTCTGTAATTCCATCCACAACTGTACAGCCATCAACAATTAGAAAAACCCTTACTGTATGGTCGGCTATGAAGGCCCTGACATGAAAATTATGAAACAATCCAATTGAGAAAACTAACGGCCTAATTTATGATAAAACAAATTACAAAAAACAATTATGACAGACATTAACCAAAGACAACCACTGATTTACAGGCTCCTGACTGCATTTTACTTTCCGACCTTATTCTTACCATTTGTCCATGTAATCCTGACAGAACTGTATTTCTTCCTTCACCTGCATCCCTGGTACTTTCCAAAATTCTAGGTATTCCAAATCTTCCTGTCTCTCCTGGCTGACCTTTAACTCCGATGTTTGGTTTAGACTTTATAACTTTACCAATGAAACTCTTAAGCCATGTTGCTATTTCCCCACTAAGACATACTCGTTGGCCCTGTACAAAAACATGAATTTATCTATGGTAAAACACAAATGATATCTGTCTGTAAATTTTATCCAACACGTACATAGTTACAAGGGTCAATATTAATGACACTTAAAAGCAACTATAAGTCACCATAAAGCATCTAACAAGGAGCAAAACAAAAAGGATCAAAAAGCTTTGAGAAAATGACATATGACAAAATGGAAAATAATTCAAATGAGATAACTAACTACCCAATTATTACAAAATAATTAATGAAAAACAAATATGATATACGGCAACAAACAACCATCACTGAAAGAACTTAACTTTTAGATTTCCAAAAACTATTTAAATTAGACATGCTAATGACAGAAAGGCAAACATATTTAATGGCAATAAAATAGAGAAACTGTTTAAACCAAATGTCAAGGACAACTTTTGCAAAGAACCTACTGGTTCTCCATCTTCATGATCTTACAGTTAAACTAAAACCATGGGGTAAATATAGAATTGTAACAATGGTTTAAAATTTTACATGCGTTTATTTTCTGTAACTTATCTTGTGGTTAATTCTTACTCTTTGTTAAATCCTTGGCTGAAAGATTCTAATTCAAACTAGCTCTGGAAATCAGCTTCAATTTTATCCAACTATAAATACTGTTGTCTTAAAGTATAATTTTTCCACATTCATAAAGGGTCTCAAAAAATAGGAAATGACATTACAATTTAGACACAATATAATTTTTTTTTTTGCAACTATCCATCAATCGAAAAACTGATTATTACATTTACCATGTTTACAGTACATATTAACAGTGCATAAAAGTATATATAATCTGTCTCATTAAAATTGTGTTGTTTTCGTGTCTTATATATATGTATGTGTGTATATATTTTGTTATTCAGTCCATTTGTACTCACTAGAGCTTGTGTTTAAGTAGTTTAACTTTATTGAATATTGACTTTAAATATAACTTTGAATTGGATCCCCGTTTTCTTTCAAGGTTTACTTCAATATTTGTATCTAGACTCGAATACATGTCAATCAAATCATCATGTTTTCATACAATGCTTTCTTCTACAGTCGAACCTCGTTTTGTCGAAGTCGAAGGGACTGGACCAAAGTATTCGACACATCCGAGGTTCGACTCATCCGAGGTCGAGTGTGTCGTCATAAATTGGAATGCATGACATACGATATGATTTGTGTAAACTAGATACAATGAACAGTGTGCCTTTTTTTCGATATGACACTTTATGATTGTGTATTCAATCTCCATTTTTTGTCCTTCATAATAATTAAACGCACAAGTACAGATACAAATCATGCACAAATAAAATCAATAGTCTACACAAATATTTACAAAGGACAGTCACTATAAATTATGAAATCACTCGCAGAACGAATTAAGTTATGAACGGTCTCTGATGAGCCAGAGGTCGTCTGCTTTACATTAAATTATCATGAATTTATCATAATTGTCCTAATCCTTTTATTTATTGTAATTAATGAGTTTTAAATCTAACGATTCATTTAATCTCGGCTAGGGTCATTTAAGTTCGTTTTGTTTTTATCTGATGTGAAAAATGTTCAACACACTAACATTCCGCTTGAACGATCAACCAAAGGTGTTAATTACCGGTCACCATAAACATGTCATTTTAACTGTTATACAAACAAGTATGTTTACTCAGCTTTAATCTCTTTGGAAAATGATTAGGTTACATAAGAAATACATCCGATTTGAATTTTTATCATTAGGTCTGCATCTTTTGTCTTGAAAATTCTTACTTTCAAACTTCGAGTCATCGGGGTCAATTTACATGAATTTTACATCGACGGGACTATAAAATTTACTCGACTTAACCGAGTATTCAAATCAACCGAGTTCGACTCATCAGAGGTAACTATGCATTGATCAAACGGGAATTTTACCGGGACCGAGAAATTACTTCGACTCGTCCGAGTTTTTGACACAACCGAGTTCGACACAACGAGGTTCGACTGTATATTAGTTTTAAAGAAAATGCAGTCACATTTATCATTTAGGATAGCATATTTAACTTTAAAAGAAAAATATTTCAAAAATCATGTGGGGGCCGTAAAATTACAGCCGTACCTAAAATACCGTTTTTTTTCTTTTAATTTTTTTAATTTTTATTATTTAAAAATTTGGTGGAACTTTTGTGATATTTACAGAAAATCATTTTTGGGATTTAAGTGTTCACCTATTTATTGATTATATTTACTTGATCACAAAGGATTTAATACAACATGCCTGGAGGCAATAGCCTTACAAGTAACAGATCTGTGAATAAAAGTGGAAAATGTGGAAACACTGTTCAGACTTTACTAGCTGCCAAAGTAGATAAAGTTGACAAAGAAAAAACAGAAAAACCTAATAAACAACCAAAAAGAACTCACTCTTACACCCCAGTTCTATTGTTATACTTCATAGTTTCTATTTCTGAAACAAGTGTAAATTGAATAGATCTATTGTTACGAATAACAATGGATTTTTACCACAGGGTGTGACGAGCTGGGTTTCTGGAAACCCCTGCTTCTACATCCCGCAAACAAAGTCCATTGTTATTCGTAACAACAGAAATTGATTATTTTTTAAATAGCATGAACATAAGAAATAACTAATAGTGTTCACTACAAATTGTTTCATGATATTAAAAAAAACACATTTTAGGAAATTCCAATAAGCATCTATATATGGAATTCAAAAAATAATCCTTTAAATACTCTTAATTTTGCTTGAAGGTAATTTTTTTTATCCCAGCCATATGTCTCTATTCTAAAGCATTGATCTTTAAAAAAATGGGGATTCTAACTCCCGTACCCCCCCCCCCCCCCCCCCCCCCCCCAGTTACCCAGTGGCCGATCCAGGGTTGGACCCGACTTTTATTTAAAAGATCAATGCATTTGAATGGTTGGACCCCCCTTTTTCTCTTGAGTTGGGAACCCCTGGCTTGATCAGCCCCTGATTGCTCCCCCCCCCTCCAAAAGGGAGTTCCTCAATATTAAATATTGTATGTTGAGCGTGTCTGGTAGTCGGGTTTCTAATGCAGACACACACATCCCTTGGTATGTTCGAATATGAATGTTTGTTTATTCTCGAGAAGAGGTGGGTGGGGGGTTGTTTTTGATAAAATCGTAAGATATAAAATACAGTTATGATTACCTTTATTAAACTGATACAGGTAAGTACTTTGGGTTATAATATTGCCTTTATCTTTAGTCTCTTCTACCAAATCCAACGCTTGCCACAAAATGTCGTCCGTCTTATACCCGTCCATATTGACAACTGTATACCAGGAGCATGATGTATTTTTTGTTTGTAATAAGAATACACGTAACACTCAACCTTGACCTGCTGATCCATATTAGCACATGGATTTAACGGTAATATGCAAAACAACTTTACATTTGTAAAATATACTCACTTGTCAAAGTTTGAAAGAAGATAACCAAAGAAAGGTTACTAGTGGGGTTTCATGTAATAAAAAAATGTTCTTATAAATCATGGTTTGATATTGTCAATAAATATGCTATCTTTTTTTTTTTTCATTTAATAATCAATGTTAACAAATATAGGGTTTAGAATGGGGTGTAAGTTAGTTATACGCCTCGGGATACGGCGTGTCTGGATAAGAAACCCCTCCGCCCTCCGGCCGACGGGGTTTCTTATCCAGACACACCTATCCCTTGGTATATAACTATTACTGAAGTGTCAAATGAATCAAATACAAGTGTTGATCTGACTGGTATAATTAGTATACAAAGGGACTTAGAAGAAATTAAACAAAACCTTGAGGGTGGATTAAAAAAGATAGACCTTGAAAATGCAACAAAAGATCTTGTTAAGTCAAGTGATCTGGAAGTCATTGTAACATTTATTGTGAAGAATTTATTTAAAGAATTTACTTCATCATTAGAGACAAAAATTGATGAAAAAGTATCAGAAGTTATAGGGGAAATGCAAGAGAAAATAGATGCATTATCAATTGAAAATGAGAACTTGAGGGAGAAAGCTGAGGTAGCTATGAAAAGCCTATCTGCAACAAAGAAAGAATTACACCAAAATGAAAGACTGACAAGAGAAGCGATTACCAGCAGCAACTATAATGAACAATATTCTCGCAAAAACAACATAAGAGTTATAAACTTTCCATGGCGAGAGCGACAAGATCTGCATGCGGACTTTATAAGTAAAGTGAAAAGGGACATGAATGTATAACTTGAGGAAAGAGATGTTGTCGCCATCCATAGAATTCCATCTGACAAATTAGGACCAAAGCCTCTAATTGTGAGATTATTTAGTAGCGATGTTAAACGAAGAGTGATGCGAGAAAAGAAGAATTTACAAGACCATGTAAGATTTTATGATGACATTTCCAAAAGAAACATTGATTCAACTGTGGTGTATATGGAAGGATATCTGATGGTCTACAGCTGAAGTTCAATATTTTTGATGACATTTTTCTTAGATTGACACAAAGGAAATAAGTAGTTAACTTAGTACATGACTTTCATTGTTACATGTACATTATGTCTTGATGAATTTTAATTTTTTTTTTTAAAGTGTTTTTCTTATTTTCATGGGACAAATCTTAATACTATAAAAGTTGTCTCCACTTTGTAAAATAGTTGACTATGTCATAACTGATAAATCATATACAGGATATATAAAATTGAAAGAACAATTATACTGATAAAAACTATTGTTTTGACATTAATTTAATAAAAAATGTCTGCCATCTTGATGCTTAATTTTTGTTTTTATCTCTATCTTTTTCTTTCCAGTCCTTTATTCTTTTTATTAATTATTGCATTTCTGCAATATCATTCCATTACATTTTGTTTTGGTTTAGTTTATGGTGAGTTTCCTACTTATCATTTTTTATGCTTCTATATGTTGGTGAAATGTTTTTCTTTAGTATTTTTTATACATATGGAGAATAATCAGATATTACTATTACAATTTTTTACGGTCATGTTATGTGCTAGTGTATTTATCGACATCATATCATGTGTGCCCTGAAGGTATTAACTGTTAATTGCCAAGGTTTGGGAGATAAAGTTAAAAGAAGAGATGTTTTTAACTATTTAAGAACAAAGAATTATAATATTTACTGTTTACAAGATACTCATTTCTTATGTGAAAATGAAAATAATATAAGAGCTATGTGGGGATATGATAGTTTTTTTTCATCATATAGTTCAAATTCAAGAGGTGTAGCAGTTATGTTTAATAACAACTTTGAGTTTAAGGTCCTATAAGAAAAAAAAGATGTTGGTGGCAATTATTTAGTATTAGACTTAGTTGTTGATACTTTACATTTTACACTTGTAACTATTTATGGACCAAATATAGATAATCCAATTTTTTATGATCAAATTATGTCAATTTTAGATGATTTTGGTAATGATAGCTATATGATATGTGGTGATTTTAATCTTGTTCTCAACCCTGATATAGATTATTTTAACTATTTACATGTAAATAACCCAAATGCTCGGGGAAAAGTTTTAGAAATCATTGAGGAAAGGTGTCTCATTGACCCTTTCCAAAAATTTTACCCAGATTTGAAACGTTTCACATGGAGAAAAAGAACCCCCTTTAAACAAGCAAGGCTAGATTTTTTTCTTTTGTCTGAAAATTTACTATACTGTTTGAATAATTGTAATATTGAGCCTAGCTATCGCTCTGATCATTCTATGGTTATATTAAATCTAGAATTTAATCCATTTGATCGAGGTAGAGGATTGTGGAAATTTAATAATTCATTGTTGTATGATCCAGAATATATAAAGATTGTTAAGGAAAAAATAGTAGAAGTTAAAAAACAATATGTAACACCTGTTTATGATATAGATAGAATTGAAGACATAAATAATGAAGATCTCCATTTTAATATTAACAGTCACTTATTTCTTGAGACAATGTTGATGGAAATTAGAGGCAAAACTATATCTTATTCAAGTTACAAGAAAAAAGTAAAAGAAAAACAAGAGAAAGATATTAGAAATGAAATCCTAATTTTGGAAGAAAAGGTAGATGAAGGTTCAATAAAGATTTTGGAAAATAAAAAATATGAATTAGAAAATATAAGAAAAGAAAAAATTAAAGGGAAAATAATTCGATCAAGAATACAATGGGTAGAAGAGGGTGAAAAACCTACTAGCTATTTTTGTGGGCTAGAATCAAAAAATTTTACAAATGATAATACCAAAAGTAGAAAAAGAAAATGGAGATGTAATTTCAAAACAAAAAGATATTTTGAAAGAAGTGAAATCTTTTTATGAAAATTTATATAAGAATAAAGATCAGTCAAAGGGAGATAAATTCAGTAAACTCGAAGAAGGATTGAAAGATATAAAGTTTAAAAAATTAACTGATGATGAGAAAAATAATCTTGAAGGTAAAATAACAATTGAAGAAGCTGGTTTGATATTGAAAAATATGAAAAATAATAAAACACCAGGATCTGATGGTTTCTCCACAGAGTTCTTTAAATTTTTTTGGAAAGATTTAAAAATTTTTGTTGTAGACTCCTTGAACTACAGTACTGAGATTGGTGAACTATCTGTTACGCAAAAACAAGGAATCATTACATGCCTGCCAAAAGAAAATAAAACCTAGACATTTCTTAAAAAATTGGCGACCTATATCTTTATTAAATACAGTTTATAAAATTGGCTCTGGAGTTATAGCAAAACGCTTTAAAACAGTTTTAGATAAACTGATAGATTTCGATCAAATTGGATTTATTAGTGGGAGATATATTGGAGAAAATCTTCGTTTAATTTATGATATTATGCAATTTACTGAGGAAAAAGACATTCCAGGACTTTTATTGCTCATAGATTTCGAAAAGGCATTTGATTCAATTTCTTGGGAATTTTTAACCAGTGTCTTGAAGTTGTTCAATTTTGGAGAATCAATAATTAATTGGGTTAAAGTTTTTTATAACAATATTAAATCAGCTGTTAATCAGGGAGGACATCTATCAGAATTTTTTTCTATAGAACGAGGCTGTAGACAAGGTGATCCCTTGTCGCCTTATATTTTTATTCTCTGTGCTGAAATATTAGCACTAAAAATACGAAATAATGATAAAATAAATGGCATTACAGTTGCTCAAGCTGAGCACAAACTTTCACAATTTGCTGATGACACATCTCTTATTTTAGATGGTAAAGAAGAATCTTTGAATGAAGCATTAAATGAATTAGATTGGTTTGGAAATATATCTGGTTTAAATATTAATTTTTCTAAAACACAAGTTATTTGGATAGGAAATAAAAAGTATAGTAATGAGGTATTATGCCAAAATAGAAACCTTACATGGGGAGAAACATGTTTTAAGTTATTAGGTATAAGCTTTGATGTTAATCTTGATAGAATTGTAACAAGAGTGCACACGCTGAAATGTCTCGCCTTCTTTACTAATCATTGATATTATGTTGATAGTCCTAAATATAAAGCTTTATTACAACTGTCACATAAACTTAACATTAACCAAGTAAACTAAACATTGACCAATGAACCATGAAAATGAGGTCAAGGTCAGATGAACCATGCTAGGCAGGCATGTACAGCTAACAATTCTTCCAAACAACAAATAGAGTTGACCTATTGCTTATAGTTTAAGAAAAACAGACCAAAACACAAAAACTTAACACTGAGCAATGAACCTTGAAAATGAGGTCAAGGTCAAATAAAACCTGCGTGACTGCCAAATAGATCATAAAATATTTCCATACACCAAATATAGTTGAACTATTGCATATAGTATAAGAAAAACAGACCAAAACACAAAAACTTAACTATAACCACTGAACCATGAAAATGAGGTCAAGGTCAGATGACACCTGCCAGTTGGACATGTACACCTTACAGTCCTTCCATACACCAAATATACTAGACCTATTGCTTATAGTATCTGAGATATGGACTTGACCACCAAAACTTAACCTTGTTCATTGATCCATGAAATGAGGTCGAGGTCAAGTGAAAACTGTCTGAAGGGCATGAGGACCTTGCAAGGTACGCACATACCAAATATAGTTGAACTATTGCACATAGTATTAGAAAAAAAGACCAAAACTCAAAAACTTAACTTTGACCACTGAACCATGAAAATAAGGTCAAGGTCAGATGACACCTGCCCGCTAGACATGTACACCTTACAATCATTCCATACACCAAATATAGTAGACCTATGGCATACAGTATAAGAAAAACAGACCAAAACACAAAAACTTAACTATAACCACTGAACCATGAAAATGAGGTCAAGGTCAGATGACACCTGCCAGTTGGACATGTACACCTTACAGTCCTTCCATACACCGAATATACTAGACCTATTGCTTATAGTATCTGAGATATGGACTTGGCCACCAAAACTTAACCTTGTTCATTGATCCATGAAATGAGGTCGAGGTCAAGTGAAAACTGTCTGACGGGCATGAGGACCTTGCAAGGTACGCACATACCAAATATAGTTGAACTATTGCACATAGTATTAGAAAAAAAGACCAAAACTCAAAAACTTAACTTTGACCACTGAACCATGAAAATGAGGTCAAGGTCAGATGACACCTGCCCGCTAGACATGTACACCTTACAATCATTCCATACACCAAATATAGTAGACCTATGGCATACAGTATAAGAAATACAGACCAAAACACAAAAACTTAACTATAACCACTGAACCATGAAAATGAGGCCAAGGTCAGATGACACCTGCCAGTTGGACATGTACACCTTACAGTCCTTCCATACACCGAATATACTAGACCTATTGCTTATAGTATCTGAGATATGGACTTGACCACCAAAACTTAACCTTGTTCACTGATCCATGAAATGAGGTCGAGGTCAAGTGAAAACTGTCTGACGGGCATGAGGACCTTGCAAGGTACGCACATACCAAATATAGTTATCTTATTACTTATAATAAGAGAGAATCTAACATTACAAAAAATCTGAACTTTTTTTTCAAGTAGTCACTGAACCATGAAAATGAGGTCAAGGACATTGGACATGTGACTGACGGAAACTTCGTAACATGAGGCATCCATATACAAAGTATGAAGCATCCAGACCTTCCACCTTCTAAAATATAAAGCTTTTAAGAAGTTAGCTAACGCCGCCGCCGCCGCCGCCGCTGCCGCCGCCGGATCGCTATCCCTATGTCGAGCTTTCTGCGACAAAAGTCGCAGGCTCGACAAAAATTAATTATGATGAAAAAATTGTACAAATAAAATGTGTAATTAAACAATGGTCAAAACGAAATCTTACTGTTATTGGTAGAATTACTGTTGTAAAGACATTGATATTGCCTATTTTAAATCATTTGTTTATATCCTTACCAAATCCAAGTGATGATATTTTAAAAAATGTTATTGAACTTATGTACAATTTTATATGGAGTTCACCAATTGATAGAATAAAGAGAGATGTTTTACAAAATGATATTGAAGATGGTGGACTCAAAATGATAAATCTTAGTGCATTTATTTTAGCACTGAAGTGTACATGGATAAGGAGATTATTTAAAACAGACAACAAATGGCAGAATGTTTTTTTGTCAAATGTTCATGTAGAACTTGAAAAATTCTATGGTTGTGGAAGTGTTTATATACAAAAATTACAACAAAATATAAAAAATAAATTTTGGCAAGATGTTCTGAAAGCATGGCAACTTCTCAGAGAAAAAGATGAATATGACAGTTGGGAATGCTTTCTTGCTAGTCCAATCTGGCTTAACAATAATATAAAGGTAGCAAATAAACCTATTTTTATAAAGATTGGTTTGAAAATGGTATAAGATTTATAAATGATATTGTAAATGAAGATGGGACTTTTTTCTCTCATCAAGAATTAGAAGAAATGTATCAGATAAATGTGAATTTCATGAGATATAATAGTATTATATCTGCTATACATCAAGCATCAAAATCATTTGTGGGAAAAAATCACAAATTAGAACTACCTTTAATTCCATCTGCTATTAAAAGACTTGTTAAAAGTTCAAAAGGATCTAAAGATATGTATATTGTTTTAAATAAAAATAAAAGTGTTCCCACTAGTCAGTTAAGATTGACTGAAATTTTTGGCTTTGATCAAAATCATTGGAAAAAAATTTATAAAATGCCATTTGTAGTCACAAATAATACTAAGTTACAGTGGCTGCAGTATAGATTCAATCATCGAATCTTAGCTACAAACAAATTTCTTCATTAAATTAGGATTTATGATAATCCAAATTGTACATTTTGTAATAGAGAAATTGAAACATTAGAACATTTATTTTGGGATTGTGAACATACACAGATATTATTAGAACAGATTGAAAATTGGTTTCTGACCAATGGAGTTAGTGTATTTTTTACAAAAGAAGTTTTTTTGTTTGGTAACATTGCAAAAATATCAAAAGGCAATGCAGAAAATACTCTTTTTCTTACCATAAAGCAATATGTTTATAATACCAGATGTTTTAAAAAAAAACTGTCAATAAACTCAGTAAAAGAGAAGATGAAATATGTGTATGCAATTGACAAAAATATTGCTATGAAAAACAAATGTGAACATCAGTTTCATAGAGAATGGAACATTTTTGATAGATTACTTAGTTAAGTACAAAAATGTATACACTTTAAATTTAATATTATACATGTTATAAATGAAAATGCTGTATTTACTATACTAAAATAGAATTCAATGTCTAGATGAATTGTATTGAAAACTCACCACACTATTTTCTCTCACTCTCTTTCTCTCTCTCTCTGGTGTTCAGACTGCTTTACTCTTTATCTTATATTTGTATATTTAAAAAAAAAATTGCTTCCTAATAAAAAGATGTATTGTTAAGATAATATCAATAGATTTATATATTATATATTGTTATTATTTGTGTATACACTGTATTATGTTGTAAATTGGAAGTTATAAATAATAAAAATTAAAATACCGTTTTTTGGCTCCAATGGCGCTCCATACATTTGGAGGTCAACGTTATGAAATCAATTTCGAAATGTATGCATGTGTCCTCAATCTAACACTATTTATTGTCATGTTACTCAGTTTTAATGTTCATTTTGAGCTCAAATACAAACTTTGAAAATTTGAAATCAGATAAAACTGGGTTATTTGAAGGTGTGGGCTTCCCTTCGAGGTCTGACACACGAAGTTCTGAGGCCTAAAACTTTTACAAATAGTGTAAACCCGAGGGCATATAACTACTGATCGTGTTTATTATTGAAATACGCATAGGCAGCAACTATTTCGATTTCAGGTCCAGTTTAAGTCAAAAATCGGAAAAAATGGAAACATTTCAGATTTTTGGTCCAAATGACTATCTTGAGACTGATGTACCCAGATCAGTTTCACTCCGGCCTAAAAACTGTTGTGGTTAATGTGTTCACTAGGGTCCACTCTACATGCAGACTACAGTTGGATACATCTATTAGCATCCATTGGTCTTCCAGGTCAAGTAAAAAAACAAAACAAGAGTGCACACGCTGAAATGTCTCGCCTTCTTTACTAATCATTGATATTATGTTGATAGTCCTAAATATAAAGCTTTATTACAACTGTCACATAAACTTAACATTAACCAAGTAAACTAAACATTGACCAATGAACCATGAAAATGAGGTCAAGGTCAGATGAACCATAGTAGGCAGGCATGTACAGCTAACAATTCTTCCATACAACAAATATAGTTGACCTATTGCTTATAGTTTAAGAAAAACAGACAAAAACACAAAAACTTAACACTGAGCAATGAACCTTGAAAATGAGGTCAAGGTAAGATGACACCTGCCAACTAGACATGTACACCTTACAATCATTCCATACACCAAATATAGCTGACCTATTGCATGCAGTATTAGAAAAAAAGACCAAAACTCAAAAACTTAACTTTGACCACTGAACCATGAAAATGAGGTCAAGGTCAGATGACACCTGCCAGCTAGACATGTACACCTTACAATCATTCCATACACCAAATATAGTAGACCTATTGCATACAGTATAAGAAAAACAGACCAAAACACAAAAACTTAACTATAACCACTGAACCATGAAAATGAGGTCAAGGTCAGATGACACCTGCCAGTTGGACATGTACACCTTACAGTCCTTCCATACACCGAATATACTAGACCTATTGCTTATAGTATCTGAGATATGGACTTGACCACGAAAACTTAACCTTGTTCACTGATCCATGAAATGAGGTCGAGGTCAAGTGAAAACTGTCTGACGGGCATGAGGACCTTGCAAGGTACGCACATACCAAATATAGTTATCCTATTACTTATAATAAGAGAGAATTTAACATTACAAAAAATCTGAACTTTTTTTTCAAGTAGTCACTGAACCATGAAATTGAGGTCAAGGACATTGGACATGTGACTGACGGAAACTTCATAACATGAGGCATCCATATACAAAGTATGAAGCATCCAGGTCTTCCATCTTCTAAAATATAAAGCTTTTAAGAAGTTAGCTAACGCCGCCGCCGCCGCCGCCGGATCGCTATCCCTATGTCGAGCTTTCTGCGACAAAAGTCGCAGGCTCGACAAAAAAACGTCTAAATAGATGCTTTTTACACCTGAGGACCAACTTTGGGGCAAAATTTGAATATCTTAGTGAACATAAATTAAACTCACCTGGTCACCATTAACACCAGCACTTCCCATATTTCCAGATACTGCTGACTCATCCTTTTGTCCAAGTAATCCTGATAAACCATCGACATGATCAAGTCCTAACTATATCATGAATATATTAATACAAGTTTGAACTAGCAGATATAAGAATTTGCATTGTGTTTCATAATAAAATCACTGTCATCTCTAAATTAATATTAAAGACCTCAACATTTATCTGAACTGGCTTAAATTAGAATATTTAGTTAACCGAAAAATTTAAGTCGATTAAAACTTATGGCAGGTGAAAAATTTGCCATATTACAGTCTTTTAAAAGAGAGAGAAAACCTTTGAAACTGATTTCAGTGTGCAAGACTAAAAAATTTCATCAGGTATCCTAGGCCTTAAGACCCTGCGCAACAGCCCCTTCATCATGTGTCCTCAAGACCCTGTGCAACAGCCTTCTTTTCAAATTTCCTCAAGACCTTGTGCACAGCCCCTTTTGTCAAGTTTCTCAAGTCCTTGTGGAACAGCCCCCTTTATCAAGTATCTTCAAGACCTTGTGCAACAGCCCCCTTTATCAAGTACAAAATGTATCTTCAAGACCCTGTTCAACAGCCCCTTTATCAAGTATCTTCAAGACCTTGTGTAACAGCCCTTTTTATCAAGTTTACTAAAGACCCTGCTGTGCAATAGCCCCTTTATCAAGTTTCCTCAAGACCCTGCTGTGCAACAGCCCCCTTCATCAAGTTTCCTCAAGACCATGTGCCACATACCCCATCATCAGGTAGCCTAAATACCTTGTGCAACAGCCCCCTACATCAAGTTTCATCAAAACCCTGTTCAACAGCCCCTTTATCAAGTATCTTCAAGACCTTGTGTGCAACAGTCCCCTTTATCAAGTTTCCTCAAGACCATGTTCGTCAGCCCCTTTTTTAGGTATCAAGTAAATTTACCTTTTTTATGACAATACGAAAATGTTCCATAGAGTTTTCCTTGACCATGTATTCTGAAAAGTATTGAATAATGTGTATTTAGTTGTGCAAAAAGAAGATTAAGAAAAAGAATATCATGTACAATGATGTACACCTCCACAGAGGTAGTGAGGCCCAAGCGCTTTTGTTGAGAACAGCTTGATGACATACTTCATAACCTTACCACATTTTTATTTATTATAACTAACAGCTCAAATTTTAATATCTAAGCATGCACAGAACAACTATGCAAAGTTTCATGGTGATATCTTTTATACTTTTAAAGAAATGAATGTTTGAAATTAGCTCCGGAGGCGATTTTTGTCTATTTTCAATTAGCCAAAAAGTGATAAATGTCCATTTTAAAACTTTATTCAACAAAAAAGTAAAACAGCAATCATACACCAAATTACAGTTTTCTATACAAATATCAGCAAAGTGATGAAACAAAATAAATTATGCTTGTGTGAATTAAAAGAAGGAAGATACATGATTCTAAATATGTGATAAAAACAAATATCAAAGTATTAAAAAAAACTAAGTTCATGTGTCCATATCAATTTTTTTATTTCAATAAAATATAAGACATTATTGTTAAAATTATGTCATATTTATCACCAAATAACAGAATCTTACAATAAAATTCATTTCAATAATTGTATCTTATCTAAATAAGCAAAATAATTTTTTTGATAATAGCAAAGGGAGGTAATAAATATTACAAAATTTGTATAGAAACAATAGCAACTTTTGCATTTTATTTTTTTCTGAAATTCTACAACTCTACATTAAGGGAAACAAAATTAAATATTAACGATAATTATTTTTACTCATTATTTGAAGTGAAAGCTACAATTTAACATAAAGTTAAGAAAAAAATTGCAAAGAGTTTGAAATATCTTTACCTTGAATTAATTACAGACTGAACAAAAAAATTCGAATAATATTTATATATTGATTCGATTGCAATTCTATAAATCACTTTTTTAAATGAAAGCATTGATATGATAGTTTGTATTATTTTATATTTCATAAATTCCTTTTCAATAAATAAATAAATAAATGAAAACTTCTTAAAAAGGGGAGATAATTCATTCCATCAGAATTCATCAAATTAAAAAAAATATGTTAAAGTTTTCTTTTCACAATACAAATTATGTAAATATATATTTCTTTTAAACCTGAGTTACATATAAACAATTATTACTAATTTAATGTAAAAAAATATGGCATAAATGAAACATTTAGTGATACCCTGCCATGTTTTGGTTGAAAAAAGGGGGGTGGCAAAAAGTAAAAATATGGCATAACTTGAAAAATATTTTTTGGATCTAGCTTAAAATTGAACTTTACTTGCTATTTATTGTACTTAACATATGTACAAAGTTTCAAAATAAATCATTCATCCTTTCTTAAGTTATTTTCTGAAAACCACTGGGGGACGGATGCACTGACAGACAGACGGACACTAAACTGCAATTTTTGTTCGGAGGGTATCACAAAATATAACGCCACTATGTGTGGCAGGGTATAATAAAAGCACAAATAACAAACATCATGAATATAAATATTAAAATGAAAAATGCACAATGTCATTGACATCAAAACATAACTACCACTACACGTACATGTACTATAGACTAGATTTTACATTTAAAAAATCAATGATAAAATGATAACCAATGATAACAATAACTTTGCTAAAAAATAAACATTGCAAAGCTATTCATTAAAATCTAATATTCAGCATTCATTTGTTCAATTTCAGGAATACAGAAAAATAAATTTCAATACATCTGCATTTATGTAAAAATAAAAGTGCTTGGACGGAGCATACTTAACAGACTGATTTACGCATAAAATAGATTGGCACTGGAATAAATAAACAAAAAAAAACCAATTATTTGCAATTGGTTCTTTGGCACACATAAAATATAACAAACTTTAAGTGGGAGAACGAACTAGAGGCTCTCAAGAGCCTGTGTCGCTCACCTGTATTTACTGATGCTTTGGAAATCTTGTAAAATAAGGTTAAAATCATAATTAATAGTATTAGATATTAGATATTATAATGATATCTAAGATAATAACAAAAAACTGCAAAAGTTTTGTAAAATTACTAACTCAGGGGCAGCAACCCAACAACGGGTTGTCGGATTCGTCTGAAAATTTCCAGGGCAGATAAATCTAAATCTGATGAACATTTTTGCAACCTGTCAGATTTGCTCTAAATGCTTTAGTTTCAGAGATATAAACCAAAAACTGCATTTTACCCCTATGTTCTATTTTTAACCAAGTCAGCCATGATGGTTGGAAGGCGGGGTCATCGGACAAATTTTTTAAACTAGATACCCTAATAATGATTATGGCCAAGTATGGTTAAATTTGTCTCAGTAGTTTCAGAGAAGAAGATTTTTGTAAAAGACTACAAAAATTTACGAAAAATTGTTAAAAATTGACTATTAAGGGCAATAACTCCTAAAGGGGTCGACTGACAATTTTGGTCATGACAACTTATTTGTAGATCTTACTTTGCTGAACATTATTGCTGTTTACAGTTTATCTCTATCTATAATAATATTCAAGATAATAACCAATAAAATGCTCCGCAGGGCGCAGCTTGATACGACCGCAGAGGTGGAACCCTGAACAGTTGGGTCAAGTATGGACACAACATTCAAGCTTGATACAGCTCTGAATTTGGATTGTGATTAAATATTTGACACAGCATAGGTTTCTGACACAGAATGAATGTAGTCTAAGAACTTAAAAATTTTAAATTGGACATTCACCTATTATGGTCCAATATCCAAAATCTAAATACATGGTTAGATTCAGCATATCAAAGAACCCCAAGAATTCAATTTTTGATGAAATCAAACAAAAGTTTAATTTTGGACCCTTTTGACCTCAATGTGGACAAAGTTGATAACGGGCCCAAAAATCAAAAATCTAAATACATGGTTAGATTCAGCATATCAAAGAACCCCATATATTCAATTTTTGTTGAAATCAAACAAAGTTTAATTTTGGACCCCGATTTGGACCAACTTGAAAACTGGGCCCATAATCAAAAATCTAAATACATGTTTAGATTCAGCATATCAAAGAACCCTAAAAATTCAATTTTTGTTAAAATCAAACTAAGTTTAATTTTGGACCCTTTGGACCCTAATGTAGACCAATTTGAAAACGGAACCAAAAATGAAGAATCTAAATACACGGTTAGATTCGGCATATCAAAGAACCCCAATAATTTAATTTTTGATGAAATCAAACAAAGTTAAATTTTGGACCCTTTGGACCTCAATGTGGACCAATTTAAAAACGGGGCCCAAAATCCAAAAACTTAATACACAGTTAGATTCAGCATATTAAAGAACCCCAAGAATTCAAGAATAAAACCCCATTGAAATTGATCAAGAAATAAGCAATTTATACGAAGTATCTTCTTTTGCACAATACTGTGCAATTGAATATTTCTTGTTATTGCGCAATACTGTACAATTGACAATTTCTTGCTATTGCGCAATATTGTGCTATTGGATATTTCTTGCTATTGCGCAATACTGTGCAATTGAAGATTTCTTGCTATTGCGCAATACTGTGCAATTGAAGATTTCTTGCTATTGTGCAATACTGTGCAATTGAAAATTTCTTGCTATTGCACAATACTTATTATATAATAATTTACACATCCTGTTTGGTGTGTATCTCCTACCATATCATTATTATTTGCTTTTAAATATAAATCAGAAATAACCAACTTAAAATGGAAAATTTTAAATGAAAAAAAAAAGGAAAAAAAGAAAAAAAAAGAAAAAAAAAAAAAATCCCCCCCCCAAATTTTTTGAACCCCCCTTATGATTCATCACCCCCAAACTCAATCCAAGCCTTCCCTTTGTGGTATGGTACCTTGCAGTACAATTTCAGAGAGATCCATACACTTGAACACAAGTTATTGTCTGGAAACTAGAAAAATGCTCGTTTTTTGGCCCCTTTTTGGCCCCAAATTCCTAAACGTTTAGGGCAATTACCCCCAAACTCAAACCCAGCTTTCCCTTTGTGATATGGAACCTTGTAGTACAATTTCAGAAAGATCCATACACTTACACACAAGTTATTGTCATGAAACTAGAAAAATGCTTGTTTTTTGCTCCTTTTTTGGCCCCTAATTCCTAATATTTTGAGGCAATTACCCCCAAAATCAATTACAGCCTTCCCTTTGTGATATGGAACCTTGTGGTATAATGTCAGAGAGATCCATACACTTACACACAAGTTATTGTCTGGAAGTTACAAAAATGCTTATTTTTGGCCCCTTTTTGGCCCCTAATTCCTTAACTGTTGGTACCATAACCCCCAAAATCAATCCCAACCTTCCTTTCGTGGTATAGAACCTTATGGTAAAATTTCATGGAGATCCATTCACTTTAACTTAAGTTAGAGTGCGAAAACCAATGTGTCTTCGGACGACGCCAGACGACGACGACGACGACGCCGACGACGCCAACGTCATACCAATATACGACCAAAAAAATTTTAATTTTTGCGGTCGTATAAAAACTGCAAAATTTCCTTTAAATTACCAATTCAGGGGCAGCAACCCAACAACAGGTTGTCAGATTTGTCTGAAAATTTCAGGGCAGATAGATCTTGACCTGATAATCAGTTTTACCCGCTGTCAGATTTACTCTAAATGCTTTGGTTTCTAAGATATAAGCCAAAATCTACATTTTACCCCTATGTTCTATTTTTAGCCATGGCAGCCATCTTGGTTGGTTGGCGGGGTCATCGGACACATTTTTTAAACAAGATACCCTAATGATGATTGTGGCCAAGTTTGGTTAAATTTGGCCCAGTGGTTTCAGAGAAGATTTTTGTAAAAAGCTAACGACGACGGACGACGACGCCTTCGGGCCAGGTGAGCTAAAAAGTTAAGCTAGTACAATAAAACAGTTACAAATGAACTAGAGCACATGTCATATCCAATGTTTCTTCATCTGAAGAACTCCACTCATCATTTTCTTGAAAGAGTCGTTTTTGAGCTCCTTTTACATTTGACAAAGTTTCTTCATCAGAGGATTCCCATTCCTGTATTATTAATTGTTTGTTAGCTATAATGATTGTTTTGAGATGAAGAACCTGTTCCGTAGGACTTAGTTTATTGAAATTTTTCAAAACATCATTAGAATTCACATGCTGAACCTCGGCTAAAGCTCTCCATATTTTAACCTGCTTTAACAGTTGTGTCTTGTTCATGTTGTTAACAGATTTTTTTCTACGGCTTAGGTGAAGCTTAGCTTCTTTCAGACTTTCATCAAGTCTAAGCTTTCTTTCTTGTCTTATCTTCCTTCGTTTAGCTATTTTTTGTTCTCTCTCTTCTTTATTTTCAAGAAATTGCTTTTTGATTTGTTCTGTTCGTGTTCCTTCTTTTTTACGTTTTAGTGATGCTTTTGTCATTGCTATTTCGCAAACATTCTGAATAGAGAGCTTTGAAGTCTTTAACCACTGTACAGGTTTATCTTGCTTTGCAGATATAAGACTGTTAACATTTACGGTTTGAAGATGGAGCTAGTTTCATTTGCCTGAAAAATAAACATTTCTGAACAGTGTGTTCTTGACAATCAAATTTCACATATTATCATATAAAATCAGTTAAGATAGAAATGGCTGAATTTTGTTTACTACTTGACACGAAATCACATGACTCAGCGGATGTTTTATGAAAAGCAGAGGAAGCTTACCCTCCCAGTTCACCGGTCCATACTCCTGGTTTAAGTTGAGAAAAAAATATATGAAAAAAAATCGTTTCAAGTGGAAGGACTTGGGTTTTTTATATTTTTTTTTTCACTTTTCAAATATTTATGTCATGCATATGTTTAACTCAAAATTCAAAAACCATACCTGTCCAACATTCCAAACATACTCTCGATTCGGTCATTTGTTGCTTCACCGACAGTTTGTGCTGCCATAAGCATATCTTGGGTTGGCTGTGCATACTCTCCACCAGGTAGGTGTTCAACTGCATGATCGTGAAGTTTATCAGTCAGAGCTCAGACATAAACAAGTCGATTATTGTTTTTGACTTACATAAGTCAAAAAATGTATTTATTATAAATATGTACTTTCATTTTCAGACTTGTTTAAGTCAGAAAATGACAGACTTGTTTAGGTCTATTTATGTTTATGAAAAGACTAAATTTTAATTGGTGGCCAAAGTGCACCACCTATGACACCCTTAACCTGTCTGAGAGTTCACATGGACCTGAGTTATCTATATTCAATTATTTAATTGAACATTTTCACTTAACATAAATTATTTTCCTCATTTTGTGTGATTACAGATGGTTGCATTGTAAAGTAAAAATAAACGTAATCTCCGTTTTTTTAGGCTCTCATGCATATTTTTCCTTAGAAGACAAATCATTGACTTTCAATGTTGTCATAATTTCATGTAGATGCATGACCTTTTTATAAATATGCATGGGTCTTGAAGTTGACCAATTTTGGTAACTTATTAACTTGTAGGAGTCAATATTTGCAACTTTTTAATTCAGGTCAAATAATTCTTGCTTAACACTAATTGACTTATTGAAGTCATAATTTGTCTTAAATTAAAGGGAGGCAAATCTTGAAACCTTTAAATTTAGACCTCTATGAGTCAAAAGCAGATTTAGACTTATTTATGTCTGAGCTCTGACTGTTTATCTTTCCCAGCTTTTGCCATCACTGTAATAGACATTTTAAATAATTTTGTGGTAGTTTAATAAAAATTCAAAAAGTACAATTCATATTCATTATGTGACTGTATATGTACACAGTTTAATATACAAGAGGCTCTCAAGAGCCTGAATCGCTCACCTGTATTCAGAGGAGAAGATTTTTAAATGATAGCAAACTTGTCTGCTCTATGGTCGGGTTGTTGTCTCTTTGACACATTCCCCCTTTCCATTCTCAATTTTAGTGATGAACAAATTGTGTAAACTTGTCTTTAAAGGGCAATAACTCCTTAAGGGGTCAATTGACAATTATGGTCATATTAACTTTTTTGTAGATCTTACTTTGCTGAACATTATTGCTGCTTACAGTTTATATAAATCTATAATAATATTCAAAATAATAACAAAAAACTGCAAAATTTTGTTAAAACTACCAATTCAGTGGCAGCAACCCATCAACGGGTTGTTCGATTCGTCTGAAAATTTCAGGGCAGATAAATCTTGACCAAATTAAACAATTTTACCCCTGTCACATTTGCTCTAAGAGATTTAGTTTTTGAGATATAAGCCAAAATCTGCATTTGACCCTTATGTTCTATTTTTAGCCATGGCGGCCATGTTTGTCGATGGATACAAACTTCGGATACAATTTATACACAAGATACCCTAACATTTAGTTTAAAGTTTGAAGGTAATTGGCCCAGTAGTTTCAGAGAAGATTTTTAAATGTTAGCAAACTTGATAAACAAATTGTGTAAAATTGTCTTTAAAGGGCAATAACTCCTTAAGGGGTCAATTAACAATTATAGTCATATTAACTTTTTTGTAGATCTTACTTTGCTGAACATTATTGCTGCTTACAGTGTATATATATCTATAATAATATTCAAAATAATAACAAAAAACTGCAAAATTTTGTTAAAACTACCAATTCAGTGGCAGCAACCCAACAATGGGTTGTTCGAATCGTCTGAAAATTTCAGGGCAGATAAATCTTGGCCAAATTAAACAATTTTACCACTGTCACATTTGCTCTAAAAGATTTAGTTTTTGAGATATAAGCCAAAATCTGCATTTGACCCTTATGTTCTATTTTTAGCCATGGCGGCCATGTTTGTCGATGGATACAAACTTCGGATACAATTTATACACAAGATACCCTAATATTTAGTTTAAAGTTTGAAGGTAATTGGCCCAGTAGTTTCAGAGGAGAAGATTTTTAAATGTTAGCAAACTTGATAAACAAATTGTGTAAAATTGTCTTTAAAGGGCAATAACTCCTTAAGGGGTCAATTAACAATTATAGTCATATTAACTTTTTTGTAGATCTTACTTTGCTGAACATTATTGCTGCTTACAGTGTATATATATCTATAATAATATTCAAAATAATAACAAAAAACTGCAAAATTTTGTTAAAACTACCAATTCAGTGGCAGCAACCCAACAATGGGTTGTTCGAATCGTCTGAAAATTTCAGGGCAGATAAATCTTGGCCAAATCAAACAATTTTACCACTGTCACATTTGCTCTAAAAGATTTAGTTTTTGAGATATAATAAGCCAAAATCTGCATTTGACCCTTATGTTCTATTTTTAGCCATGGCGGCCATGTTTGTCGATGGATACAAACTTCGGATACAATTTATACACAAGATACCCTAACATTTAGTTTAAAGTTTGAAGGTAATTGGCCCAGTAGTTTCAGAGGAGAAGATTTTTAAATGTTAGCAAACTTGATAAACAAATTGTGTAAAATTGTCTTTAAAGGGCAATAACTCCTTCAGGGGTCAATTAACAATTATAGTCATATTAACTTTTTTGTAGATCTTACTTTGCTGAACATTATTGCTGCTTACAGTGTATATATATCTATAATAATATTCAAAATAATAACAAATAAAATGCTCCGCAGGGCGCAGCTTGATACGACCGCAGAGGTCGAACCCTGAACAGTTGGGGCAAGTATGGACACAACATTCAAGCTTGATACAGCTCTGAATTTGGATTGTGATTAAATATTTGACACAGCATAGGTTTCTGACACAGAATGAATGTGGTCTAAGAACTTAAAAATTTTAAATTGGACATTCACCTATTATGGTCCAATATCCAAAATCTAAATACATGGTTAGATTCAGCATATCAAAGAACCCCATATATTCAATTTTTGTTGAAATCAAACAAAGTTTAATTTTGGACCCCGATTTGGACCAACTTGAAAACTGGGCCCATAATCAGAAATCTAAATACATGTTTAGATTCAGCATATCAAAGAACCCTAAAAATTCAATTTTTGTTAAAATCAAACTAAGTTTAATTTTGGACCCTTTGGACCTTAATGTAGACCAATTTGAAAACGGAACCAAAAATTAAGAATCTAAATACACGGTTAGATTCGGCATATCAAAGAACCCCAATAATTCAATTTTTGATGAAATCAAACAAAGTTAAATTTTGGACCCTTTGGACCTCAATGTGGACCAATTTAAAAACGGGGCCCAAAATCCAAAAACTTAATACACGGTTAGATTCAGCATATTAAAGAACCCCAAGAATTCAAGAATAAAAACCCCATTGAAATTGATCAAGAAATACATGAAATAAGCAATTTATACGAAGTATCTTCTTTTGCACAATACTGCATGTGCAATTGAATATTTCTTGCTATTGCGCAATACTGTACAATTGACAATTTCTTGCTATTGCTCAATATTGTGCTATTGGATATTTCTTGCTATTGCGCAATACTGTGCAATTGAAGATTTCTTGCTATTGGTCCGAGTACACAGTTATTTCGTAGTGCATTTCTTTTAGACAATAAATGAAAATAAAAAAAATCCCACCTGCGCTTTCTCAATAATATTTTTACAGTGTGTTGTACTACTTTTGGGACAAATTATATCAAAATTATAGAAAACTTCATCGGCTCTAACTCAAAATATGGACAATTCTATGTTAAGGGGGTCTTGAAATCTTTTGACAGCTTCCGAAGTGCTAATTTTTAACCTTTTTCAGCTGGACCAAATCACTACTTTACTTTACAATTCATGACCCAAATTTTTTTACAGTGTAATTTCATCCCCCTACTTGCTATTTGAGGCATTAAACATGAAGGAATACATTTGGAAGGGGTACTAAAAAAATTGGCAAGCAACACACTGTCCACACTAGGGACTTTATTCGTGGACAACGAAAATCAAAGGACGATAACTGTGTACTCGGACCTAATAGGATAGAAAAATTTGACCAATCTTAATAAAACTTGGTATGACTAAAGCTTAATAAATTATGAGACTGCTGACAAAGTTTCATGGCAATAGGATATATATTATAGACAATATGATAAATTCTATATTCAACTTCGCGTGTTAAATTTTGACGTTTAAATTGAAAAATTTCAACTATCAACATTTGGGGCTTTAAAAATTAAAATATTGCAAAAAATTACATTTTAAAGGGCTTTATATATGACATATTATGTATTTAAAGCAATAGAATACTCATTTGATTTATCAGACTTATCACAATTATTTAAAAGTCAAATTTATATGAGCCTGTGCCAAAAAATGGAGGTTTTCCAATGAAGGGGGGCCTTACATGAAGATGTATTATTTTCCAGCAATTTTAAATTTGTGGAGTTTTTTGGTTATAAATAATCCTTACATATGTACTAAATGTACTTTAAATGGAAAGAAAAATTACAAATAGCATACCATATTAGTATAAAAGGGTCTTAAGCCAAGTAAGACTGAAAATAATTTAGGGTCAATTTAGGCCGTAGCACATATTTACATTTAAAAATGCATACTGAAGCTATAGGAAATAAAAATTTGTGTCTTTTTTATAATTTCTATACTCAGGTTACATGATACAATAAATCTGAGCATAAAGGGACTCTTGCATTCTACTTTTTTTGCAGACAGTATGGTCTGATACAAAGATTTTTCACTTTTTAGTGAAAAACTCGCATGCAATTTTAGCCTCAGCAGGCTTATATTTGAACCACTTGCTATTTAACATAAGAAAAGAAAGATACTATGTGAAATGAAACAGGTACAAAAGACATTGTGAAGTGCTTTAAATACAAATTTAGTGAAATCTTAATTATGGACTTCAACTTTTATGTACCTAGGTCCTCACATTTAACTTGATCCAAACAGGCCGTTACACGAGGGTCATTTATACAACACATTTTGCACATATTGTCTGAGATAATCTTATTTTCTGTAGATTCAGAGTTCACAAATGAGTAATACAACTGGGTTAAAGCATAGAAACACAAATATTGACACAGGAAAACCTGTCACATAGAAAGTCAGAATGCCACTTATGCATCAAAATTGAAAAAGCTTTGAAATGCTTATTTTGACCATATAATGCCAAAATGGGTAATTTTTGCAGAATTTCTATCAAATAAAAGTTTAAATCCTTTAGTTTCATGTTATCTGACAAATTGACACCATTAAATCATTCAGGGAAGTTGCCAAAGTACAGATTCTATATTTACTGATTTCGACTCTTAGGTCCGAGTACACAGTTATTTCGTAGTGCATTTCTTTTAGACAATAAATGAAAATAAAAAAAATCCCACCTGCGCTTTCTCAATAATATTTTTACAGTGTGTTGTACTACTTTTGGGACAAATTATATCAAAATTATAGAAAACTTCATCGGCTCTAACTCAAAATATGGACAATTCTATGTTAAGGGGGTCTTGAAATCTTTTGACAGCTTCCGAAGTGCTAATTTTTAACCTTTTTCAGCTGGACCAAATCACTACTTTACTTTACAATTCATGACCCAAATTTTTTTACAGTGTAATTTCATCCCCCTACTTGCTATTTGAGGCATTAAACATGAAGGAATACATTTGGAAGGGGTACTAAAAAAATTGGCAAGCAACACACAGTCCACACTAGGGACTTTATTCGTGGACAACGAAAATCAAAGGACGATAACTGTGTACTCGGACCTATTGCGCAATACTGTGCAATTGAAGATTTCTTGCTATTGTGCAATACTGTGCAATTGAAAATTTCTTGCTATTCCACAATACTTATTAGATAATAATTTACACATCCTGTTTGGTGTGTATCTCCTACCATATCATTATTATTTGCTTTTAAATATTAATCAGAAATAACCAACTTAAAATGGAAAATTTTAAAAGAAAAAAAAAAGGAAAAAAAGGAAAAAAAAAATCCCCCCCCCAAATTTTTTGAACCCCCTTATAATTCATCACCCCCAAACTCAATCCAAGCCTTCCCTTTGTGGTATGGTACCTTGCAGTACAATTTCAGAGAGATCCATACACTTGAACACAAGTTATTGTCTGAAAACTAGAAAAATGCTTATTTTTGGCCCCTTTTTGGCCCCCAATTCCTAAACGTTTCGGGCAATTACCCCCAAACTCAATTCCAGCTTTCCCTTTGTGATATGGAACATTGTAGTACAATTTCAGAAATATCCAAACACTTACACACAAGTTATTGTCATGAAACTAGAAAAATGCTTGTTTTTTGCCCCTTTTTTGGCCCCTAATTCCTAAAATTTTGAGGCAATTACCCCCAAAATCAATTACAGCCTTTCCTTTGTGATATGGAACCTTGTGGTACAATGTCAGAGAGATCCATACACTTACACACAAGTTATTGTCTGGAAGTTACAAAAATGCTTATTTTTGGCCCCTTTTTGGCCCCTAATTCCTTAACTGTTGGTACCATAACCCCCAAAATCAATCCCAACCTTCCTTTCGTGGTATTGAACCTTATGGTAAAATTTCATGGAGATCCATTCACTTAAACTAAAGTTAGAGTGCGAAAACCAATGTGTCTTCGAACGACGCCGGACGACGCCAGACGACGACGACGCCGGACGACGCCAGACGACGACGACGCCAACGTCATACCAATATACGACCAAAAATTTTTTAATTTTTGCGGTCGTATAAAAACTGCAAAATTTTGTTAAAACTACCAATTCAGTGGCAGCAACCCAACAATGGGTTGTTCGATTCGTCTGAAAATTTCAGGGCTGATAGATCTTGACTAATTGAAAAATTTTACCCAATGTCAGATTTGTTCTAAAAGCTTTAGTTTTTGAGATATAAGCCAAAAACTGCATTTGACCCCTATGTTCTATTTTTAGCCATGGCGGCCATGTTTGTCGATGGATCAAATCTTCGGATACAATTTATAAACTAGATACCCTAAGGAACATTTAGTTAAAGTTTGAAGGTATTTGGCCCAGTAGTTTCAGAGGAGAAGATTTTTGAGATAGTTAACGACAACAGACGACGACGACAGACGCCAAGTGATGGCATAAGCTCACATGGGGCCCTTTGGGCCCCAGTGAGCTAAAACTAGAGGCTCTAAAGAGCCTGTGTCGCTCACCTTGGTCTATGTGCATATTAAACAAAGGACACAGATGGATTCATGACAAAATTGTGTTTTGGTGATGGTGCTGTGTTTGTAGATCTTACTTTACTGAACATTCTTGATCCTTACTATTATCTCTATCTATAATGAACTTGGCCCGGTAGTTACAGTGGAAAATATTTTGTAAAAATTTACAAAAATTTACAAAATTTATGAAAATTGTAAAAAATTGACTATAAAGGGCAATAACTCCTTAAGGGGTCAATTGACAATTTTTGTCATGTTGACTTATTTGTAGATCTAGTCAGAGATTACTCTGACGTCCAACAGCTGTTTTGCCAGACAAGCTGGGGCCGTGACACGTCAGAGCAGACAAGCTGGGGCCGTGACACGTCAGAGCTCGTCCCATATCAAAAAGTGGATATTTGCCCGTCCAAAATAGATGCGCTGCTTCGTCGCTTCTGGTGCCAAGGGACGGCCTTGGAATTATATAAATCGGGTAACAATTTGTTCATTTTTCATTTATCTCTTCATTTATGTAAGTTTCACCTACCTGCCACCCTTTATTTTCTCATATTTAGACAGTTTTCACAGTGACCCATTGATTCAGACATTTTTACCATCTTGGTTCGAGGGCGGGGTCAGTTTCACCTACCTGCCACCCTTTATTTTCTCATATTTAGACAGTTTCCACAGTGACCCATTGATTCAGACATTTTTACCATCTTGGTTCGAGGGCGGGGTCATCGGACACATTTTTTAAACTAGATACCCTAATGATGATTGTGGACAAGTTTGGTTAAATTTGTCTCAGTAGTTTCAGAAAAGAAGATTTTTGTAAAAGATTACAAAAATTTACGAAAAATTGTTAATAATTGACTATAAAGGGCAATAACTCCTTAAGGGGTCAACTGACTATTTTGGTCATGACAACTTATTTGTAGATCTTACTTTGCTGAACATTATTGCTGTTTACAGTTTATCTCTATCTATAATAATATTCAAGATAATAACCAAAAACGGCAAACTTTCCTTAAAATTACCAATTCAGGGGCAGCAACCCAACAACAGGTTGTCCGATTCATCTGAAAATTTCAGGGCAGATAGATCTTGACCTGATAAACAATTGTACCCCCGTGTCCGATTTGCTCTTAATGCTTTGGTTTCAGAGATATAAGCTAAAATCTACATTTTACCTCTATGTTCTATTTTTAGCCATGGTGGCCATCTTGGTTGGTTGGCTGGGTCACCGGACACATTTTTTAAACTAGATACCCCAATGATGATTGTGGCCAAGTTTGGTCAAATTTGGCCCAGTAGTTTCAGAGGAGAAGATTTTTGTAAAAGTTAACGACGACGGACGCCAAGTGATGAGAGGTGAGCTAAAAAGAAGAAACATTGTATGGTGTAGTTGCCAGTTATAGGTCACCGTACGGCCTTCAACAATGAGCAAAGCCTATACCGCATTATGCCGCATAGTCAGCTATAAAAGGCCCCAAAATGACAAATGTAAATCAATTCAAACGAGAAAACTAACGGCCAAATTAATACATGTACAAATAAATGAAGGAAAAACATATATGTAACACAGCAACAAACGACAACCACTGAATTAAAGGCTCCTGACTTGGGACAGGCACATACATACATAATGTGGTACACTCATTAATAATATTGTACAAATTGATAGCTCTTTTTACCATGTTTACCCAAAGGGTCAGGTGAGCTAAAAACTGTTATTAAATGAATATTTGAACTTTTATTTTGATTTACATACCTTTCAATGTATCAACAAGGATGCTGTTTTCTGATGTCATCTTGTGAATTTCTGTCATAAACGGGATGTAAACTTGCGGTCCTTTTGTGTTTTCCCACAACAAATCATCTCCATTTATAAGTCCGCTTGGATCAATACTCCATTCCTGTAATTTCGCTACTGTCATTTCATAATAACCATTCATCTCTAAAGGAGACTTTGTAGATTTTGCTTTCTGCATTAAAGGTGAACAAACATAGAAGTACATTAAGGCAAAGGCTATTTCCTCTGTCACCATAGTTGTATTTAAATAACATTGCTGTACTGAATACTCTAAACGGTTAAGTCCAGGGGTTTCTTTAGTATCTTTTATGTCTTCCAAGTACATTAAAACAATTTCTCGAGCAGAAAGTGTTGGTATTGCTTTTTGTAAAAATATTAAATATCGACTTCCTACAATTGGTGGAAACAAATCAGAACCAGAGTTCTGGTCATTACACAATGTATAGGCCTTAAAATCTACACCTAGACCGTACTCTTTTCTTGCATGTTCACAAAGGAGTTCATTACATTCATAGATGTGTTTTTTAGCACCGTGCATCCCTCTCATCTTTTTGTCTATCACATAAAGAGCATTTGCACTTGCATCGGTTATAGCTGATGCCATGTTGTTAATTTTGTGAGCAGCACAGGTAAATGTATATAGATTTTCATTGTCTTTTTTTCCATAATGAGTTTGGAAACACTTTTTTCGTTTGCAACCCGATCAGACATTCTGGCACCAATACGGGATATTGAAAAACTATTCTCATCATTGTCTAACCCTAATTTATTTGCTAATCCACTCGATTCCTCTAACTGATCTTGTAGTTGCTGAACAGTATCATCAGCTTTTCCTGAACTTACTGGACTTACAGTTAAAGTAAAAAATTTAGGATTATTTGGATCGTCATTTGGTAAGAGCTTTACTGCATGTGCACCCCACTGTATAAGATTTTTTGTCGTTCCATCAGACTGATGACACAGCATTGTTTTTTCTTTAGACAATTCATATGCAGTTCTGATTTTTACCAACTCCCCTGCCTCGGAAACCATACGTTGCGCAGTTGATCGACTAGGTAGTTTAAGCTTTGTAGTATCATATTCCGTCATATTTTCCAATACAGTACGTACAACCGACTGGATTGTATTTGCAGAAACACCTTTTGTTAGAAGATCATAATATAATAATCTGACCTCTCCTTTATATTTTCCACCAGATTGTGTTTCTAAATTTTTCATTTCTTCAATTTTCATTTTTTGCATTTCACTATTAAGCTGATTTTGATTTTTGAGGTTTTAAACTATACCATTGTAGTACAGTTTCATTGATTCTGTGTCTGTTTCAAATTTTTCGTATACTTCGTGCAGTTTAGACTTCAGTCCCGATATATTTTGGTTTCTCCTTTGGACTTTCTTTTTAGTACTTTTTAAAAGTTTATTAACCGAATGCAATTTTTGCTCAACTTCTGATGTTTTATTTTCCTTTTCATCTGCAAGATCAAGTGATTCGCTCACAACATTTGATAAACGGCCAATTTCTTTTTTCATCGTCAGTAGCTGCTTTCGTTGATGGGTAGATGTCAATTTTAATGACTTCAGCTCTTTTGATTTTTGTGAAAGATCTTGGCTCTTTTTTTTTAATTTATTAATTTGCGAAATTACATTCTCGCCAACTCCACTTAACCTTTTTTTCTTTTTGCTTAGTTCAGCTTTCAAATTATCGTTTTGCAACTTAATTGAATTTATTTTGGCACTATGTGACTTTAAAATTGTTGCCTGTTTTGATACATTCTTCGCTAAATGTCTGTTTCTTTGTACAATTCTTGCATAATCAACACTACATGTATCATTGGACGTCACTTTAATGTTTACACAGTCACAGGTAGAAGATGTGTCTGTTGTAGCTTTAGTAATTTCATTTTGAAACGATTCTTTCTTTTCTTCCGGTAGAACAAGTTTGTCATTTAGAAAACTTATAAGTTTTTCTTTAACTTTTGTATCATTTCTGGCATTGAAGCACTTTTGCAATTCCTTAAATATTTTTGTCTTCTGTTAAAGAGCGCCCATATAGCTTTTCCATTCAATGCAGTTTTTGTAAAGTGAGAAAGCCAAACAGTTGCAATGTCAATCCATTTGTCAAATGAGGAACTTCCTTTCTTAACTTTTAAATTGTAAATTTCAAAATTCTTTGCTGTATGTATTAAACATATGAATTGTCCAGTAGTTAGGTTTGAGAAGTAATCGAAACAGCCGTCTGACGCAGTGTTACTGAGGTCATATAAATTCTCAGGATGCTTAATTCGCCAGTTCGGGATCGGATCTTCAGAGTCTTCAAGTGTAAGGCTGGTTAAGGTGAAAACCAGATGGGAGTAAACTGAAAGAAAATAGATAAAAATAAAGAATAGTCATAAAAACTGCATGCTATATTTTTTTTCAGGAGAGATTGATATTCTAGGATAAATCGTTCATAATCTTTCATTGAAAATACACATGTACATGTCGGTACATGTACAGTCAGGCCAAAATGAATAGTGTTTCCTATTTCACTTGAAAAAAAATTTGGTAGGGTAGGTAGGTAAAACATTTTAATATATTTTCTGAACTGGATGGGTGAAGATTGATCAGTTGTATGGGATAGTTAATTGTTTACTAGGTTAAGATAGAACATTGTTTTTTTTATTCAGCCACTGTCAACTTCAAGTAAACCTGAACCTCCCCCTTTTTCCTCCATGATTTCAAACATTTATGATTTTCAAAGAACAAACATTTATTGATTGAAATTGTAACTCATGAGGGAACTTGTGGCTAATCTATGTAACCTTGTATCAAAATAAAGCAAAATATGCAATGTCGAATATAAATTTTCATTGCGATTGTCAACTTCCGGTTTCCATTTTCGGAAAATTCACTGACCCCCTCGCGACTAAATTGACTCGTGCAACTTCAATTTTTGTCCAATCTTGTAATGTTATACATCATTTTCTTCAGGAATAATAATTACATCTGTGAACGCACTAAGATGTGCTGTTTGTTGTAAGTCGGCAAATCACAACTAGAGGCTCTCAAGAGCCTGTGTCGCTCACCTGTATTTACTGATGCTTTGGAAATCATGTAAAATAAGGTTAAAATCATAATTAATAGTATTAGATATTAGATATTATAATGATATCTAAGATAATAACAAAAACCTGCAAAATTTTTGTAAAATTACTAACTCAGGGGCAGCAACCCAACAATGGGTTGTCGGATTCGTCTGAAAATTTCCAGGGCAGATAAATCTAAATCTGATGAACATTTTTGCCACCTGTCAGATTTGCTCTAAATGCTTTAGTTTCAGAGATATAAACCAAAAACTGCATTTTACCCCTATGTTCTATTTTTAACCAAGTCTGCCATGATGGTTAGAAGGCGGGGTCATCGGACAAATTTTTTAAACTAGATACCCTTATAATGATTATGGCCAAGTATGGTTAAATTTGTCTCAGTAGTTTCAGAAAAGAAGATTTTTGTAAAAGATTACAAAAATTTACAAAAAATTGTTAAAAATTGACTATTAAGGGCAACAACTCCTAAAGGGGTCGACTGACAATTTTGGTCATGACAACTTATTTGTAGATCTTACTTTGCTGAACCTTATTGCTGTTTACAGTTTATCTCTATCTATAATAATATTCAAGATAATAACCAAAAACTGCAAAATTTCCTTAAAATTACCAATTCAGGGGCAGCAACCCAACAACAGGTTGTCAGATTTGTCTGAAAATTTCAGGGCAGATAGATCTTGACCTGATAATCAGTTTTACCCGCTGTCAGATTTACTCTAAATGCTTTGGTTTCAGAGATATAAGCCAAAATCTACATTTTACCCTTATGTTCTATTTTTAGCCATGGCGGCCATCTTGGTTGGTTGGCCGGTCATCAGACACATTTTTTAAACTAGATACCCTAATGATGATTGTGGCCAAGTTTGGTTAAATTTGGCCCAGTGGTTTCAGAGGAGAAGATTTTTGTAAAAAGTTAACGACGAAGGACGACAACGACGACGACGCCGACAACGACGACGACGGACGACAGACGACGGACGCCAAGTGATGAGAAAAGCTCACTTGGCCCTTTGGGCCAGGTGAGCTAAAAAACTTACCAGCTCTGAACCCCATGAACGAATTTTCTGGTGCGACATCCCCAACAATCCTGATACTGCATTCTTCCCGTTAAACCCGTTTTCATTGGTCGAAATGCAAAAGGCTCGCCGCACAGCGCCAATGAAAAATATCGTTTTAAAACAAAAGCGTAAACACCCGCTTAGGATTAATATAGATTAATCTATAATTAAACCGTAATCGACGAGACGCTAATCGATCGATAACCGGGATGCTCTGCATCTGCAACTTCATCACCTCATAACTTTTTTACTTTTTTACCAATTTTGATGAAATTTTGCAGACAAAAAGAATAAATACTATATAAGACAAATGTATTTTTTTATGAAAATCGATAAAAGTTTGAAAAAAATACAATGAGTAAAAGTTCACTTTAAAACTACCACTCCCAGATTCCCTGTAAATATTTAGATTTTTTGTGGATGGGCCTCACTAACAGAGGTGCAATAATAAAAAGATCCAATTACAAATCATAAATAAAAGCCTATATCACAGTGATGCAGCTAATCGTCAGACCTGTCGGACCTAGGAGGCAGAAATTTAGAGGGTCCGGAAAATGATGTCTTTGTGTCAGACCCAATGGCTGGCAAATATTTTTACTGCTTGGGGCTTTCAAAATTGAAAGGTCTTGGTTACCTTGGCATTCAAATCAATTATGTAGTTAAAAAGCATTGAAAACTAAAAGTTCTGATGACACATTTTATGATCTTTTATTGCCGGTAATAAGTAAACATGCTGATGTAAACAGATTTCGATCTTCTCTGTGTTTATCCAATTAGCGTATGTCATGTGATCTTAATTATTTTCGTATTTCTCGGGATTTATCATTACACATAGCAATGAATGAAAACGAAAGTAAATTTCCAGTAACAATATTGAATAGAAGCATGTTTTCAGCTTCTTTTTGATAGCTGAGGGATAATTCTGATGATAACAAGACTCAGCAAGTATTATCAGGAAGCGTCCCTCAGACGCACGGTTCATGCAATGGCGCGTCCAGACAGAAAACCATGCATTCAGGGCGCAAATACGTGCCTTAATGAGAACATTGTTAGTATGACAAACACGAGTTATGTCTCCATATGACAATTGTCAAAATATATGAAGTTGAAAGCATTGAACCCAAAGTTCTATTAAGGGACAACTAATGACCAGATTTATGTAAATTAAATTAAACAAAAACAAGTCTTATTTTAGTTTTCTAAGAGTATTTTTTCATTTTAGTTAATGTGTGAACAGACATATTCGTTTTGACATAAATATAGCTTGCCACTGTCTTTGTTTTTGATCTTATTGTTCTTTAATAATGCCAATTAATATGACAAGTCTTATTGGCAAGTGTAGTACAACATTCTCATTTATTTATTTGATGTTGCAGGATAATTTAAATCAAATGTGGTCTCAGTCATTAAACCACCCCATGGTCATATCCTTATTTAACCTGGTCGTTCTAGTCGAGGTTTTAAGGCATATCTAAATCCAACTGGGAACTAGTTATTATTTTTCAAAATAAGTAGGTCTGGCAAACAGTTGATAGGACTGGCAAAACTGTCTTACATGTCTTACATGCAGGACCCAATGTCTGACAGGAAAAAAAAATTATCTGCATCTCTGATATCATAAAGAGTAAAAGATTAAGATGAGCTACTGCTTACTGATGATACCCCCGCCCAAATATGTCCGTAAACAGGAAGTTGTTGAGTGATGAATCTGAAAACCCATCACACGGTATAGCTGACTTATATAGACACTGAACAGTCAGGGGACTTATTGAAACAAGTGATTTTTAAATCACTTATCTAAGTAGCAAATTCGAAGTTTTGTCACAAATTGTGATTTTGTAGTTTTACCAAAATTTTAAACACATAGGTTTAGATAATATCTTTTCATTAGTAAAATTGAAAAAAATGAACTTTTTGCTTCTTTTAAGCAGCAAGGTTTATGCCTTTGATGCAATCATTTAGCTGCAAATTCTATTTTAGTTGAAAAATGCTATAAAAATGGCTTTACATAATGGACTGATACTTTCTTAACAGATTTTTCCCAGCAGTGGGATAATTTTCCCTGTAAAATTCAAGGTTTCTTCTTATAGATTATGTAATAAAATTCTACTGTTCCCGATCAAAATTTCACTGTTCGGGGGTGTTGAAATTAGTGGCGGTTATTAAAATAGTGATACTTAAAGAAGTGATTTTTTGGAAGGATATTGAGGTATGATACTTAAACAAGTGATTTTTATGTCATTATCCTAGATTTTGTACAAGGTCATCACCTGACATGACCCGGTCATCCTATCAACACAGATGTTGGTTCTGATAATTTTAGCAACATAATTAGTCCCTGGATCATTAGTATTCTATATTTAAAGCTACAATAGAATTAAATCACTTAAGCTTAGTCTAGTGATTAATTTGTACTACTTAAATAGGTGATTATTAAAGAAAGACAACTCTTACTTCTAACCTTTATGGACATAATGTTACTTGAATCAGTGATTTAGAAAATCACTCATTTAAGTAAGTCCCCTGACTGCTGAAACCAAATTTCAGAAATCATTTTATTGTAGTTCCTGAGAAAAATGTGACGAAAATTTTCAACTTGGCTACTCATGTGTAAAATGATGTAAGTGTTTGGTAAACAGGAAGTTGTTGAGTGATGAATCTGAAAACACATCACACGGTACAGCTGACTCATACATGTCATATAAACCCTGAAACCATTTCAGAAATCCTTGTAATGTTGTTCCTGTGAAAAATGGGACGAAAAATATTCATGGGACAGAGGGACCGACTGACTGATTGATGGATGGACTGACGGATGGACGGACGGACAGACAGAGGTAAAACAGTACACTACCATTTTTTTAAAGCGCGGGTATATTTAAAGCACGCTCACATACCCCACGCCCCCACATTGTCACTGGACAAACAAAATCTCACCAGATTCCTAAGTTCAAAGACTCATAACTCTACAAAAGTCAACTGATAAAAATTTTCTTGTGGATATGCACATTAACATATTATGTCCTCATTAACCATGTTAACTACAAAGTTTCATGAAATTCTGTTGTGTGGTTTCAGAGGAGTTGCGAATACAAACTGTTGCAGTAGTATATTTAGGCCAAAGTTCTAAGTTCAAAGGAGCATAACTCCTAGAAAAAAAAATTGAATCATAATTTCCTGTGGATATGCACATCTACATAGTATGTCCTTATTATCTACAAAGTTTCATGAAATTCTGTTGTGTGGTTTCAGAGGAGTTGCGATCACAAGAACAGGACTGACGGAATGTAGTATATTGTGGCCAATAAGTTCAAAGGGGCATAACTCCTAGAAAAAAATTGAATCATAATTTCCTGTCGATATGCATATCTACATATTATGTCCTTATTATCTACAAAGTTTCATGAAATTCTGTTGTGTGGTTTCAGAGGAGTTGCGATGACAAGAACAGGACTGACGAACTGACGGACGGACGGGTCAAAAAATTTATACCCAACGCAATAAATTGCAAAATTGCGTGGGGTATAATTAGATAACAATGATTAAATGGCTTATTTTTTACGATAAAAAAATAACCTCAAAATGCTTAAAATAATAAAATACCTGTGTGAATCTTGCAGTTGAATGTCTTCTAAAGTTCCATCTGTCTGTATGGGCAATTGTACATGACCATAACCCTGTGAAAATGTTCTTTCATTCTCATTTAGATTATAATCTAGTATGTTTGCATACTCAGCGTACTGATTAGATGGATCAAACTCATAAATAACTTGATCATGATTATCATTCATATTATACTGCAATACACTACTATGATTTGAGTACTTTTCCTTATGACTGACAATTTCTTGATCATTACATTTCTTCTGTGAAGAATCCAAATTTGTTTCACATATGCTTTCATAGTTGCTCACATCAATGTTTATATTTTCTTGAAGAACCTCTTTCTCTGTGTCCTGATTCAAGTCAGTATGGCGAGTTGGCACTGGATGATCAAAACTACCTGTACAAACAGTTGGTTTATCATTTAAACTGCAGTCCTCACTAGGCTGCCCATGAAATGAAGCAATGTCAGTGCTAGTTGTTTTTGACAGAAGATCATTACATACACCTCCGTCAATACTGCTATCCCATTCTGATTGGATTGGATAGCTTTTATCTGTATCTTCCATACTTCAAATATTTTCTTTAGTAATCATGGTAATTGTCTTGTTTTTTTCTTATAATTCACTGGAATTGATAAAACATAATAATGATTAGACTTATTATCTACATTTGTACATTTATCATGTTTATAAAGCCATTCCCCTCGAAGCTTTAAGCATTTGTTTAAAAGAGGAAAAGAAATCACTATCATGTTCAAAAATGTTGTAAACACAAAAGCCAGTGTCCACCAACTATATAATATAAAATAGTATGCTCAATGAATACGAATTGTTATGTGTTTGCTTTGACCAGTATTGCAAGTACATCTTGGAACAAAAGTTTTGATGTACTTTTAGTAAAATTTTGCCTTAAATGTTTGTTTTTTGTTATATACCCTGAAAATACCTCCAAAAAGCTTTTTAAGCAGTTTCATAAAAAATAATCTGTTGACACAGAGATATGTCACCCCTGACAGCATAAAATTCAGAAAAAAGATGATCTGATGGACAGCAACATTGCTAATTAATTCAACGTTGATGGACCTTGAACAAGTGGGCAGGGCCTATGACTATTGTGAGAAGATCCCATCAAACTTGGTTAAGCAGAAAACTAAACATCGAAAATTTCTAATGAATTTAAAGTCACTGGACCATGACCTGATGACAGCCCCTAAAAATAGTCATCAAACAGATAAGTACTGATAGTAATGCAACTTTATACAAAATATCATTGATCTATCCCAAGTAGTTCATGTCTAACTAACATAAGCAGCAAACTTAACATTGAAAATTGGAAATTAATTGAAAGTTGCTGGACCATAACCTTAAGCGGGCCTCCAAATAGTGGTCA